TGTTGTTGACTTACAAAGTGTGACTTGTTTTTAATCTTTGTGATGTATGAACCCAGAACCATACCTGGCTATGTTGTGCTGCTGTCCATCCTGAATCCAAGAAAAACCATCCTGAAAAATAAACTACCTTGAAGATTGACAAAATGAGCTAGCGGAACAAACCAGTAATAGGGGAAACCTGATGTAGCTTGCTTCTTCTCTGCAAGAGAAATTGTGGTTAATGCAACAAACCATTATTAACTTAAACCATGGTTTAGCACATGTGAACACAACTATTACCTGATGATGCAGACATCAAATGACAACATGTCTGTATGCTCTCTTCTAGGCAACTTTTATTAGGCTTTGTACAAGAATGTCAGGAAAACAGGGTAACCTGGCTCTTTAGGTCAGAGATCGGTCTTCAAGTTCTGTAAATTTTTAAAGTGCTGTGTGTACCACTAATGCTATAGAAGGCATTCTGGTCTAGATTTCTGCTTTTGTGTTTAAAAAGAGAGCTATCACCAAAAACAAAGCAAAACAAAAAAATCCAACCCCCCCAAACAAGTATTAAGAACAGAAATGTTGCCAGTATGCCGAGCTCAATAAACATGAGCATCATCTTATTTGATATTGATTAGTTCAAATTTATATATTAAAAAGGGCTGTCAGATTTTGCACATACAACAGCAAACGAACATTACAGGACCAAAGGACTTCCCAGGGTAACATCAGAGCCTCACTGACGATTGTGACTGGTATCCCGATGAGCTAGTTAGCTGCTAATGAAGCCATGCTATCACTAACAGCAATTTGTTTCATGTGCAGAAGGGGCAAGACTGAACCCCTGGTTCTTCCCAGGGCACTGCACACATTATTGGTGCTGGTCCTACCATCCTACCTGAACAGGACACCTCTGAAGGGGTACCAAAGCACGTATACTTGTGCACATGTTAGGTGCGCCCTGTGAGTTGGGACGCTTGCCTTGGCGTGCCCTTTGCAGACACCATGTCCCATGTACGGCTGTTGGGGGCGCAACCGGAGCAGGGGGCAGCAAGGGTTTGGCCAGCAGACACAATCCTGCCCCTTCACCTATTTAGCATTTGCACGGAGGAACTGTGTGACCTTGGATCAGAGTAAAACACATCAGAGTATACATTATCCGGCTTCGTACAGTGCAAAATAAGTACCATGTCTTAATGCTTCTTTTTAATAGACACATTTTTATTCATATTAGTATGAAAGTAAGCATAGCATAGCTTTATGTCCAGGTGTTCAGTAATGAACTTTCAGAAAACAAATACATATGTTTAGAATAAATCATGTCACATCCTTTTTGTCTTGTTCAGGAGAGTAAAGAATATGGTCTGAAGTTATCCAACATATCTCAAAAAACAGAATACTTAAAACAGGTCAGAACAAGTATTTAAAAAAGCACAGATAAATACACAATTCATTGTCAGCTGTATATGTATATAAACAATACATGTACATAATAAAAGAATAATGTGCATCATACAGGAACAGAAAGCATCACGCTCCATGTATATTCATGGTTTATCAAGTCTTGGTTTCAAACTTCTGATTTCTACCATATATTTTCTTACACTTTATTTCATATAATTACAGTGATAAGTGTTAATGATCTAACTAGGTGGCATCCAAGTAAGTTCTCTCTGCAGATGGTTTGTTAACCATGAACAACCCACAGTTCACAACTCAGCAACAAACCATGGGTTCTCTTTGTAGGTTGTCTATAGTAACATGATTTGCTAACACAGCTAGACCCAGACAACGTAACCCACATTTCAACAGCAAGCCACAATTCAATGACAATTCACACTCTTTGGCTCATCTGAGTAACCCCGAGTGTGGGTTTTGTTGCTTGAACCCAGTCTGTACGGGTATCTTCCTTATGACCTTTTATCTTGCAACCTCCTTGGCTCATCTGAGTAATTTCTGAAAGATAACGTCATCGTAATCGTGTAGCCAGTCTGTGTTTTCCAGCAGCTTCTTCCTTTTTTTCTTCCCACAAATGATCCACTAAGGAAGGAAAGAACAAGTAGCTGCACGAAAGCAGCACTAAGAACCCTCCCTCTCGAAGTACCCTCTAACCCTTCTGGTGGGTGCCATTTTATGACCCCTATTAAATTTTTAAAATTGCTCTTAAGTGCTAAATAGCTTTTTTGGGCTATACATTTGTTTTAGAATGTAAGGTGAGCACAGTCTTAATTCCATAATGCTAATTTCAATTTATTGACTTGTAGGCTATAACCCAAGCATGTAATGATAAGAATTAATTTTTAAATGATGTTAAAAAACATTCAGGTTACTGCCTTTTTCATAACATAGGCATGAATCCAGGATCTGCTTTCTCTGAAGAGGAGGATTCTTTTCACAGAAGCCTCCTCTGTCCATTTTTGGGGTCCCCTCTTCTCCAGATCACAGTGCACCCCATACCATAGGGTCCTCTGAATCTCTGTGCAGCATTTTCAGGGGCCTAGAGGGGTTGCTGTTGGAAAGAGGGGGCCAAGTCCACTTCCATCATTGCAGTTAATCTAGCACCAATTTGGATCCAACTGAAAAGTGATGATTTAAAATGTTTTTTTAGACTAGCCATTATAGCATTGGTAGTGTTAAAACACTAAATCAATCTCAATCAATCTCTCTCTCTCTCTCTCTCTCTCTCTCTCTCTCTCTCTCTCTCTCTCTCTCACACACA